ATCTTGCCTATCTATTATGCAAAGTAATTTTCATCTTAACATTAAAAATACTTTTGTTGCACCAGAAAAGTTTGAAATTTCACATGCAAACTATTTATAATGTCCAAATAGTTATCAAATGTTTCTTATTTTCAGTAAATCTCTCTGTATGGGTTTGGTAAATTTGACCGATCTCACAACCACCATAAAAATTTAGAAAACAAACATAAATTATGCATCTTTCGTTCTAGAATGAACACAAATTATAACATGAAAACATAAATGTTTAGACTAAATAGCTTATATCTCATAATATTATACATGCTTGGCTAACAATACAGAAATTACAACAACACGGCTCACGTGCACTCATTGTTACCATATCAAATAACATAAAACTGACCTTTGGTCTGTGCCCAGTAACTTGTCTTGACTGTGTTTTAATAGACTAGTATTTTGTAAAATAGTCACATTTCAATTATTATACATTATATATATATTTATATAGATTATTTCAATTTTGAAATAAGTTCTTAAACTTATTTTTCTTAAACATAGAACAGTAACTAAAGAAGTAAAGCAAACAATTATGGCCTTTGTACTCAGTTGCTGCTTTACGTAGGTTGCTAAGCCTTTAAAACTTTTGTACATGGAGGATATGAAACAAAATATTTTCTTTAGGGTTTATATATACTATTGAATAACTAAAAAATCATAAGTTACTACATCAATAATTTTAGAATTCTACTATAATTGATCAAATGTAGTAACTAAGCTGTATTTGGGTCTAAAAAATATATGAAATTTCGAGCAGACTAAAGACACAACCTTACCTCATTGAAATCTTGATTTACAAGAAAGAAATGATGCTAGGTACATTAGAAAAGCTTAGGAAACCACTAGGGGAACATTCTGAGCTTCTAATTGGTTATTCATGTCATATTTAGAAGTGTTTATAAGGGAGTATTTACAAAAATGGAAGGAGGTGAGTGGGGTACCACTATGTTTGATTTATTATATGAGCAATATCTTATTAAATAGAAAAGGTAAGACCTTCTTATTTTATATTCTAGCTTGTCAATATCTGTAATTTGAGTTTCTAATTCGTATGAAACTATAGACTTAGTATTTTGACTTCAGAAACACCTAATTTGAACCAGTGCTGCATTCAACATACCACATGACACAAAAAAATCTATGTTTATCTATGTTTTTAATATTTACTTTTAAATTAACAAACTGAGTAATGTATAGTTCTAAAATTTGAATTATAATCTACAGTTTGATACCAAAGTTATTGACATAAATTCATGAAATAGTAGTTCAATAAACTTTTGAATGTGGAGTCAACTCAAAAGTAGAGTTGTTTCATTCATTTTATTACTTGCAAAACACATTTTAATTTTCATTTTCTTAAAAGGTTTCTGAAGTTTGCAGACTCACCCTATGAGACTCCTCCATCTATCGATATGTGGGAAAAACAAGGTCTTCATGGGTCAGTTGTTTTGGTTGAAGGCGTTAAAACTGGTACAGCTAAAGTCAGAGCTAAGCTGATAAGTCTAAGTTATAAGGTAAGAATTGAGGCATTTTCCAAAGATAGAATACTTCAGCTTTTATAACCCTGAAGAACTTGATAGCAGAAAATTTATTTTAAATTTTAATCATAACTTTTATGATGGTAAAATTCACATCTATTGCTTTCTTATAAATGTATGTTTAAAAATTCAAGCAATTATTTTGTAAGGAGAACAAAT